GTGTGGTCAATCAGTTGGTTTGTCCAGCTTGTCATATCTTCGTGTATTTGGTCCACTTTTTGGCGTGCATATCGTCAGTGTCCCGAGAGCGTTGGGAACGCCGATCAAGTCGTTGCTCGTGGGCTCGGAGACGGGCGCTCCATTACACTTTCCAGACGTGCGAGACACTCCTCGACACGTACCTTTTCGCATATCTCTCACGAATGACCTGGGAGAGCTCCGCATGCGCGTGGTCCGCCGCCGTCTCAACCTCCTGCAGCCTGTCAGTGAGGCGGGCGAAATCGTAAACCGTAGGGGGAGATCCCAGCTGCGCAGTCTGGGCTCGTCCAACACGCAACTCTGCCAGGGCGTCCTGTGCACCAGGTAAACGCTGTTCGATTTCAGAGATCCGGTTAGTGAGGGGCTGCGCGACAGCGTTGGTCGCATCAACCCGTTGAGCGATAACTCTCTCAGTGTTTTGCAACATGCCGATCAGGGTCGACGAGTTAGTGTTTGCTTCAGTGCGAAGCGTCGCCGTGGCGTGGTCCATATGAGATCGAAGATCAGTGATCTGAGACTGGACGTCGCCGAGATCGGTTGCCTCAGCTGGTGGCGGTCGGTTTCGGAGCTGGTCGTGGATCTCGTCATGTAGGATCCTGGCCGCCGAAACGCCTGTGTCACGAACGATCACAAGCTGTTGCCCCATCTGCGCGAGGTAGTTACGCAGGTGCTCGACCGTCGCGGACCGTGCACCTGAGTGTGACATATCACGGTCAACCTGATACTGCAGCTCACCTAAGATACGACGATCTACAGCGATCCTGGATTCTATGATCGCTAAGGCGCCGTCAAAATTTTGACGTAGGGCAACAGCGTTGGCAGCGTTCGTCTGAACGCTCTGCATCAGTCCAGAGTATTGCCTGGACACGAAGGTTTCAACCTGGTCTCTGAGCTCAGCGATCTCACCTGCAGCGGACGTGACCGCCGGCAGGTCGTCTGAGAGGGAGAGGTGAGGGGCGTCAGCTCCCTGTTGCATCCCCTCGCGAGGAGTGCATGGCCTCTGAGAGGAAGCGCGCGAGCACGACCTTTTCTCGTCGTGTGGGCCTGTGGCCCCACGACGGATACGCAAGGACGCGCTGCGGCTAGGGCCGTGTGCGTGTGTGGTGTCTGACGAGATGATACCTGGGGATACTGCGTCTGCGGCTGTGCCGACACTGGTCCACCGAGCTCCTCAAAAGCAGCAACGTGCTCCGACACAGGAACGGTCGCAGGACTGGTCAGGCCAGCACCTGTGTTCCATCGGCGGGTAGCGCGGAAGCGCCCTGGAGTATCAGGACCAGCGGAGCTGGCGCCCGACGCAGTTGGGATTGCTCCCGACGGAAGAGGACATGGAGGTTCGAAAGTAGGCGTGTGGAATTGTCTACTGCCTGCTCCTACTCCTTTTCCTGTCCCCCCGCGGGCGGCGCGGCGGTGAAGTTCAGCAGCTAGCCGCGCCTCGGGTCCGTCTGAGCTGGGGGGGGGGGGGGGGGGGGGGATCGGGGACACACCCACACGGTCAATTTTAAGGCTCTCCAACTCATCACCGAGCCGTCGCGCCGTCGGAGAGCTCGGACGCGAGGCCCCGACGGATCCCTTACGGCGCATGCGCCGCTTGGGCCCCATCGAGGCCTCGTGCAAAATCGCGACGCGGGGTTCGATGAACTGCGAGCTTTAATAGCTGATAACCTGTGTATGGGGTTGAAGTGCAAAGGTGCAGAACCCCTGATCCGTTGGTAGAGGAAAGGAGGGAAAGATGGATATCTTTTCCTCCTCCACGATCAAAGGTCTGATCGATTTATCGAGAGAGCGTGATCCACCGCCGCTTTACTGTGGAAAATTGCCAACCTTTTCCTCTGGAACCCGGGGGTCGCCCCCCCCCCCCCCTCCGAAAATCCCCCCCCCCCCTGCTGGAACCCCTCCCCCCACCCCCCCCTCCCCCCCGGCAAAACCAACCCCCCCCCCCTGACCCCCCTCCCCCCCCCCCTCCCGCTCGGAAAACCGGGGAGGGGGGGGTCACTACCGGTTCGAACCCCCCCCCCCCCCCCCCCCTCCGGATCCGGAAAACCCGGGGGGGGCCACTGCCGGTTCGAGCCCCCCCCCCCCCCCCCCCCCCCCCCCCCCCCACACTCACCGCCAGCAAACGACTCCCGGCCCCCACCACCGTCCGCATCACATCCCCCACTGGTGTTCCCAGCACCACTGTCCTCACCACCGCTGTCCCCACCGGTTCCACCACCGCCCCTACTGTCCCCACCAGTGGTCCCACCACTGTCGCACTGTCCCCGCTGTCCCCAGAACTGTTTCCACCACGGTTCCACTCTCCCCACTGTCTCCACGGCCCAACCACTGCCCGACTATCCCCACTGTCCCCACTGTCCCACTAGCTCCTCCGCTGTCCCACTGAGCTGTCCCACTGTTCCCACCACTGTCCCCACTGTCCCCACCACTGCCCCCACTGTACCTCTGTCCCATTGTCCCACCGCCGTCCTCGCCACCGCCTTCGCCACTGTCCCCACCACCATTGTACCCTCCACTGTCCCACTGTTTCCACCTCAATCCCACTGTCCCCATACCACTGTCCCCACCACCACTGCCACCACCACTGTCCACTGTCCCCCCCTGTTCCCACCATTGTCCCCACCACTGTCCCCACCACTACCGTCCCCACCACTGTCCCACTGTCCCACTGTCCCCACCACTGTCCCGCTGTCCCCTCACCACTGTCCCCACCAACACCGCCCCCACCACTGTCCGCACCCCCACTCGGTTTTCGAGGGGGGGGGGGGGTTCGAACCGGTAGTGACCCCCCCCCCCCCGATTTTCCGGATCCGGGAGGGGGGGGGGGGGGGTTCGAACCCGTAGTGACCCCCCCCCTTTTCATGATGAGCAGGGGGGGGGGGGTGGAGGGGTTCGAACCGGTAGTGACCCCCCCCGGTTTTCCGGGGTGGGGGGGGGGGGGTTCGAACCGGTAGTGACCCCCCCCGGTTTTCCGCCAGCAGCGGTAGAACACGCTCTTTCATTTAATCCAATACCTGAGCCCAAGCGGCCAGGCGCAGGAGAGTGAGGATGAGGAGTATATATGAAGGTACTATACGGGCTCTATTCGCAGGATGGGCGTGGGTGACGCATGCAAGCAGTGGCACTGGGGCCGTCGGTGGAGCTCCTTGTGGGGCCACGATACGTTAGAGGGGTGTGCCGAAATCGGTGTGCCTGACGCGTGCGGGCGGTGGCACTGGGGCCTTCGGTGGATCTCCCTTTGGGGCCACGAAACGTGTGAGGGGTGTGCCGAAATTGGCGTGCGTGACGCATGCGGGCGGTGGCACTGGGGCCACAGCCACGAAGTCCCCTCGGGCACCTCGGTGGCGCAAGTGGTAAACCTTGCCAGGATGCCTCAAGGGAGGCCGTATTTCGCTGGTGTTCGCACGAGGTTCCCACACGAGCATTGTAGTATGAATCTAGACATGAGACATGGCATACAATTCCACTAGGGCGTGCACTACGAAGCCGGCCGAATCCTGCCACGTGGGGGTACGGCTGGGCGCAACCACCCGTGGTGCAATCCTCGTAAGAGAAATGGGCAGAGGGAGGAGGCGTAGATCGCCAGCCACCTTGGGAAATCAATGCCCCTGGCCTGGCCTCATGCAAAGGCGTGGTCTCAGGTGCACTCCAATTTTCATGTAGCATGGCACTTGGGCCTCCCACAGGGGTGTCAGCCAGGGGTCTTCCACGGGCCCGCCCGCCCTCAAATTGCCAGGACCTCCAAGGCGAACCGTCCCGTTTGGCCCAGTAGACGAGTCAGAGCCCTGTGACCACCTGTTGGCTTCCGAAGATGGTGTCGACCAGGGATCAAACGAACTGCAGAAAGCAGATCAAAGAGCAGCACAGAGCCTCACAACCAGCAGTGAACAGAACAGATCAACAACTGTTGGCAGAGAGCAGCAGACGAGTGCTCACACCTGGACTCACTCTCATTGAGCCGCCCTTGGGCTCATTCTCGTTCTCTCTCAGAAATATCGGGGAGACGTAAGACCCGGGTACGGGGGACTCGGGTTGGCCCGACGAGGTCGTCAAAAAAATGACGAGGCCGAGCCTGCATTTTGACGAGGCCTCCCGCTGCAGACATCCCACGAAACTCCTCCTCGTCAAAATCCGAGGCGCGGTCGTCAAAAAACGATGGCGAATCCGAGTCCTGGCAAACCCGGGTCTTACGCTCCCCCGAAAATACGCAGAAGACGGACATAAACACATGACATGAACATATGGAAATCTCCGCGTCGGATACATGTTTCCTGGGTGTTTTTTTAGACGGGTATGGGGCCCAGGAGGGCCCCCCGGGGCCTGCAAATAGCCAACAACTTCAGCAGCACTTTCCCACATGAGAGGTGCTCTTCATGGCAATTCGGATGTGAGCAGGACCCTCTTAGTTAGCCACATGTGGGCCATACCCCTGCTACCTAACAAAGTCGACCGGTAGGGGTTCACCAGTGGAGGATCAGAAGCTGCGAGGGGGCACCAGCGAACTGAATCCCCACAAACGAACGCCCATTCTGGTCTAAATGGATAGGCAGTGGGGTGGCTGCCGGTCTCGGCTACACGCAATGAGTGACTTGAGGCAAGAGTGACCTTTGGTGCGCGTCCTGCCGACCGTTACATACGATCCAAAAACAGCGGCCTGCATGCCTAGGCTTGGTCCCGCCGCGCCCCCCGAAAGGCGCGTACCAAAGGTCACTCCGGCGAAGGGTCACCCCATTTTCTGGTCATAACTCGGGTCTCTCGCGGCCGTTCGGAAAGATCCGGGCCCCCCAGGCACGCTCTCGGCGAGGCGCAGCTGCTGGAGCGCATCTCGAGATTGGAAAACCGCTGAGCACCAACGAAACTATCCGAGAACTTCGAATTTCGACTTCCCCGAAGCCACGCAGCAAAGGTCACTCCATAAAACAAATACTCTTGCATCTAACCGCATCTAGCCGACCACCCGTGTCCTGCCACGGTGTGCCGCTGCCCTCGACGTCGATGATGCAAGGAACGGCCTCCGCGCCAAGACGCGCGGCCCCAAGACCGCCAACTGAGCGCGGCCTGGCCGCGGGCGGCTGCGGTGGCGCCGCCACGACCAGCCTGCCTCGCGTCCGCGCGTCCGAGCACAGGTCCGCCGCGCACTGGCCGGCCAGGCTGCGCAGTCTGGGGTTCCCCTCCCCTGCTCCGATAGCCCCTTCCCATCCCTCCTCTTGCTATCCCTCTCTCCCTCTGTCCGCCTCTCCATCTCTCCCTCTCCCTCTCTCCACCTCTCCATCCCTCCATTTTTCCATCTCCATGTGTCTCTCCCTTTCTTTCTCTATCTCTCTCTCGCTCACGCTCTCTCTCGCTCTCTCTCTCTCTCTCTCTCTTTCTCTCACCGCTGCTCCCGACGAACTCCCGTCCGAAATGGTGCGCCCTTATATATATATATATATATATACACATATATATGTATATAGATCCACCTTGTTATCTGTCCATCTCTACACATTACCATATCTCTCTGTCGCTCTCTCCCTCACTCTCTCCCTCTTCCTCTCTCTCTCTCTCTCTCCGTCTTCCTTTCCCTAAAAATGTGTGGCTGTGTTGTTGGTTCAATCTCGTGTTTTGTTGCTGTTGTTGTTTTTTGTCTCTCGCTCTCTCTCTCTCTCTCTCTCTACTTATGTGTTCCCCTCTCTGTCTCTCTCATGTACTCCCACTCTGTATATATATATATATATATACACACACATACACATATGCAACTATTCCACAGCATCCTGTGGTGTTATGCGTTCTCGTTTTGAAAAGACGGTCCCCGCGTTCCCTCCTTCCCTCCCTCCTTCCCTCCGTCCGTCCTTCCTTCCTTCCTCTTCTCCCTCATCCCCCCTTCCTCCTCCCATCCCTGCCTCTGCCCTGCGCGTGTCCTCGTCGTCGTCGTCGTCATCATCACCAACATAGGGAATTCCACCAAATGCCCCAGCGGCGGTGTCCACATGCGTCTCCCCCCACCCCCAGCACAGCGATTCGTGCCCCCATAGGGAGCTCCACCGGATGCCCCGGTGGCGGTGTCCACATGCGTCTCCCCCACCCAACACAGCGCTTCGTGGCCCCATAAAGAGCTCCACCGAATGCCCACAGTGGCGATGTCCACATGCGCCCCCCCCCCCGCCCAGCACAGCGTGCCGTGGCCCCATATGGAGCTCCACCGAAGGCCCCACGGGCGGTGCCCACATGCGTGTCTCCAACCCAGCAGAGCGTTTCGTGACCCCATAGGGAGCTCCACATAGGGTCCCAGTGGCGGTGCCCACATGCGTCTCCCCCACCCAGCACAGCGCTTCGTGGCCCCATAGGGAGGTCCACCGTCTGCCCCAGTGGCGGTGTCCACATGCATCCCCCCCCCCCCCCCCCCGGCGCAGCGTGACGTGGCGCCATAGGGAGCTCCACCGAATGACCCAGCGGCGGTGTCCACATGCGCTTCCCCCACCCAACACAGCGTCTCGTGACCCCACAAGGAGCCCCACCTAGGGTCCCAGTGGCGGTGTCCACATGCGTCTCCCCCACCCAGCACAGCGCTTCGTGGCCCCATAGGGAGCTCCACCGTATGCCCCAGTGGCGGTGTCCACATGCGTCTCCCCCACCAAGCACAGCGGTTCGAGGCCCCATAGGGAGCTCCACCGAATGACCCAGTGGCGGTGTCCACATTCGTCTCCCCCACCCAGCACAGCGCTCCGTGGCCCCATAGGGAGGTTCACCTAAGGCTCCAGTGGCGGCGTCCACATGTGTCTCCCCAATCCAATACAGCGCTTCGTGGCCCCATAGGGAGCTCCACCGGAGGCTCCAGTGGCATTGTCCACGTTTGCCTTTCCCACCCAACACAGCGTGACGTGGCCCCGTAGGAAGCTCCACCGAATGCCCCAGTGGCGGTGTCCACATTCGTCTCCCCCACCCAGCACAGCGTGCCGTGGTCCCATAGGGAGGTCCACCGTCTGCCCCACTGGCGGTGCCCGCACGCGCCTAAGTGCAGCGCTTCGTGGCCCAACAAAAGAGCTCCACCGAAAACCCAAGTGGCGGTGTCCACATGCGTCTCCCCCACCCAGCGCAGCGCTTCGTGGCCCCATTGGAAGCTCCAGCGAAGGCCCCAGTGACGCTGCCCACATACGTCCCACCCACTCTTGCGCCCATGAGTCCACCGAAAACGATGCCCACAACTCCGGTGCTCACAACTGCATATGGTTGGGTCATTCGCCTGGCGAATGTGCATGTGCACATTTGGATATATATATATATATATATATATATACATATATATATATATGTAGCAACGATGCGACGGCGACCGGCGCGCAGTTGTCGCAGGTGGGCGCGGCGGTTTGCCGTCGGGACTCTGGGCACGTTTTCCCAAAGCGCTCAGACTACGCGAAGCAAGCGTCGACCATGCACCCTTGCGCTCCGCCCTGGGGGCCGCGGGCGGGTGGGCGGGGGCGCGCGGCTCGAGCAAGGCACTGCGGCCCAAATGGCCACCGGAAGTTCGCTCCGCAAGTCCCCCCCCGCCCCCCGCGACGCATCGAACGCGGGCGCCCCTCCAGCAAAGTGCGCGAGCGATTGCAGGCGCGCGCAAAGTACACGCGCAAAACACTACATTCACCCCTCAATCACATAAACAATCAACTTCGCGCGATCCCAATACTCACTCGCATGAGGATGCACACAAATTGCATGCATGTTTTCACACAGGTCCCTCACTGAAAGGCTTGGTCGACCCCTGCCCGCCCCCTTTCGCGCCGACCCAGGCGCGCGCGCGCCATCCGCGCGCGCGCCGCCCCCCGTTGCCACTGCGCTCGCAGGCGTGCTTCTCGGCAACGATGCGACGGCGACCGGCGCGATTTTCGTGGGCGGGCGCGGCGGTTCGTCTTCGGGGCCCCGGGCCTGCTGCCCGCAACGCGGGCTGGCGGGCGCCCCCCCCCGCCTGCCCGATGGCGCGCAGACGGAAAGCCGCGCACTTCCCACGCGAGGCGCCCCCGACGGGGCACCTCTCGCGCCGCGACCGGCCACGGCGCCAGCCGCGCCGAGCGACCCGCGTCTCCGCAGGGAACACAGGAGCTCCAACGACCACCTCGCGGACCTCCCCATCCGCGCTGCGCGCGCCTCCAACCGGCACCTTCTGGTCGGCAGCCCGCTGCCTGGCCCGCCCCTCGTGGGCGCGGTTCGCAGCGGCCTGCAGTTTCCTCTCCCAGGTGGCGAACGCCTCCGCGCACCTCTTCTCAACCTCGGTTTCTACGGTCGCCCCCGCTGGCCCCGCTGCCACCTCTCGCAATGAAGCTTTTAGGTCAGCCAGGGAAGGCCCCATGGGACCGGTGCAAGGGCCCTCCGGGCCCCCGGCCGCTGCTGCCCGGGAAGCCTCCGAGGCCCGCTCGGCCAAGGCGCCCCCTGCGCACTTCCGGACCGCGCCCCCCCCCCCCCCGCCGCCCCAGGAACTCGACGCGCGCCATCGCGTTGCACTGGGCACCCATCCTCTGGAGCGAGTGTTCGGCAAGCCGAGTTGCCCCCGCCGCGCGCCGGACGGCGGTCGCCGCCCCTCCTCTCGATGGAGCGACGCCGCGCGCGGACGGGAAGAGAGGGGACTTCCCGCTCCACCCTCTGCGCCCCCTTCCTTGCAGGATGCGCGCCAGAGCGCGGGCGGGGCGCGCCCTCTCAGCGAGCCCCGCCCGACCAGGAACGGCGCGCGAATATTTCAGGTTACGCGTGCATTCGCGGCCTTCGGGATTAGTCTTCGTAGCCCCGAGCTCGAAGATCGCTTCGCGAGCGCCTGGCGACGCTCGCGCCTGCCCCCCGAGGATGGCCGCGGTCTCAGCGCCGCGGAACATCCACGCAGTGGCCGCGATGACCGTGTCGGTCGGTCTCACTGGACCGCCGGCCGCCGCCGGCTCCGTGATCGGTTCGCGTTCCAGCGCGCCCTCAAGCCGCGCAGTCCCAGCCCGTCTCGCGGGCCCGACGCCTCGCTGCAGGCCCCTGTTGGCTGAGGGAGTGCACGTCTAGACCCTGCGTCCGCCTGAGCGGTCGATTAAATCGACGACGCACATCGAACCTCAAATTTCGCATCGACCTGGGCATCGCCAAAAGCGGTTTCGCGGACGTGCTTCCGCGCGCGAGCGGATCGATCACATCGCAACCCTATTCGTCGCGCTGTTCTGCTCACTTCAGTAATGGGCGGCACGAGGTCTGCGCAGACGGCGGGCCGCGGAAGCTGAACGAGCCGCCCCAACAAACGCAATGTTTCAAGTGTGTCCGCGCACGGCCCGCCGCGAATGCTCACTGAACCAAGGCGTTCACCTTGCGGGCATTTGATTTTCGTTGGTTTGAAGAAGACCGCGGACCCGCGCGATCCAAAAATGGCGAGTTTCAGCCTCGAACGTGACACTTGCGATCGCCAAGGAATCGCAATGGTCCAACACATGGCGTTGGCAACATTCGTTTGGAACGCGCGAAGGTCATATGTTTTGCCGCATAACTCATGCGACGCAGCGCCCCGCGCTGTGGACAGCCCCCTGAGCGACGCATGCTGCGTCGCTTTTGCGACCGCACCTTCGGAGTGGCAACTTGCCCGGTGAGCGTTGCAACGGCAACGCGGCATTCGCCCTGCGGGGCGGGCGCGAGCAAACCTACTTGCGATTTGCATCGCGGATCGGGTGCTCCACTGGCACCAAGCTCTGCATTGAGCCGAAGCGGTTTGATCCAAGATAGCTACGGAGCAAAAGGAGGAGGAAGAGAAAACAAAGATGATGAGGAGGAGGGGGAGGAGGAGGAGGAGGAGGAGGAGGAGGAGGAGGAGGAGGGAAGGAGGAGGAGGGAGCGGAGGAGGAGGGAAGGCGGAGGATTTTGGTCTAAAAAGCTTCATGCGGTTTCTGACGCTGCAGGGGAGATTCCCGAGCCAAGAACGCTCAGTCGGAGCTGGGGGGAATTTCTGAGTTCCCACGGGCAGCTTGCGCGAGGGTTTTGGCAGAAGGATCTCGCTGGTGATCGGCGGAATGGCGTCACCCAGTGGTGTAGAGAGGGATCTTGTCCCTCGCAGTGAGCGAAGACTCGAATACGCTGGCCGCTGGATTATCTCCCTCAGCGGCTTGCTGGCAAAATGCCTGACTAACTACGCAGACGCATGGGCCCCCAGCCTCAGTCGATTTCGA